CCTTCTAGATGCCGTCTTTTTCAGGAACATCCATGCTTATTTCTACGTGACAACACCAAGCCACATTCTGCCTGTGTTACAACAGCATGGCTGCGCAATTAGAGAGTTCGGTTGCTAGACTGGCCTGCCTAAAAATTTGTGTTTTAAGCTCAAAAGATAACAACAAAGACCCTGTTGCACAGCTGCAGACTTGTATAACAGAAGAATGGCAAAAAAATTGTCTTATTAAGTGCTGTTAAAAGGAAAGGTGATCTAACACAGTGGTAACTGTGATCCTGTCCCAACTTTTTTGGAACATGTTGCTGGCATTAAATTTAGAATGTACAAAAAAAAAAAAGTTCATAAGGTAAAACATTCAATTGTGTTTTTGTACTGTTTTCAATTTAATACAGGTCAAACAGAATTTATTGATCACTACTTTGTTTTTAATTGGCATTTCATATACTGTGTTATTGGAACTGCACTACAAATGTGGTCCAGAGTTTGTTTATCAGTAAAACAGGCCTGAAGTCACAAATACCTTCTTAATGAGTAAATATACCTGTTGACAAAATCAAATCAATTTCTTTGATTAATAAATTACAAATTGTAGCCTCTTATGCTCCTTGGAATCACCGGTGGTTCCAAAACGCACTTTGTCATATTCTTCATAACTTTCATATTTCGTAAGCTACATTCAAAAAGTGGGTGTCGTATGAGATTTGTAACTGTCTTTTTTCCAGTCAAATAGATGGGTAATGTAATTTTAAACCCTTATAATAGAAGAAGCTTAACTCCCAATTTTTTTGTCTACTGAAAGTTGACCCATTTTTCTACAAATCTGGGCTATCTGTACCGCTTTTAGCGGTAAATTGTAAGCATATATGAATATGTGTATGATCATAAAACAGATTTTCTGTTAAATGGAGGGGAGCTTTTACAAAAAAACAAATAAATAAATAAAATAAAAATTTGCATTCATTTCATGCAGTTACTGAATAATTTGCCTTAAGATTTGGTCATGTAAATTCAGATGGACAAACCAAAATATACCCTGGAGCATAAGAGGTTAAAGTTCTTAATTCAGGAAACCAACAAAATCACACATTAATTTTGTTTGCCACAGGAGTCAATGCAGTTTTAAAAGGATGAAGACATTAAACATCTTGATTCCTACAAATTATTTAACTCTCTCTGAAACTTTTCTTGGATTTTCTTAAATAAAGCCATTACAAGTTTTCCCTTCTTTTCGCTGAAGCTTTCCTCCACAGGAAGAGACGAAATAACTGTCTTACATTTCTGAGGATAAGGCTCAGTGCAAGAAACGTTTCCGCACTTAATTATAAACCCATGAGAAGAAGCTCAGAGCGGATGGTGCTGCCTGGAGAATTTCTAAATTCTTATGTAACGTTGGAGTGTGATGATCAAATCCTCTTCACATCAAAGCCATGTAAATATTGGGTCATGGCATTCTATCGAGTGTGTGAGGAATGCATGAAGTTCCTCTGTGCCCCCCCCCCTTTGAGATTAAAGCGCAAACTTCTGAAGATGGTGAATTCTCTGATGAAGATCGATGGCTCATTGCAGCTTCTGTTCACTTTGCTTAGCTATGTTTAGCAAGTTAGGCTAGTCAGCAGGGCAGATGGTGAAATTGCACAAGGCTTTCAAATAGGATCAGATTGTCAAATATTGAAATATGTTTGATTTTTAAATAAAAGTATATTTAAAAAAAAATCTGACTCCAAACACGAGTGCTCCTGCTGGTGTGGAATCATGACTGTTTCTTCATTTTCTGTAACGAACACAAACAACATGCTTGCTAATATTGCCACCTGCTGGATAAACTTGGCCAGTAACTTTCAAAGCCATATCCAAAAACATTAGAGAAACAAGGTTTTTTTTTCCGCCGAAGCTATCTGGAATTCAACTATAGATGCTTGATGAGTTAAAATGATATTCTCATAATTTTAACTCATCTGAACCTTTGGGACACATGACAAGACTTTTTCTTAAATGGCATGATGCCCTCTAGGAAACCAGCAGCAGACATGGTGGAAAATCTGTTCTTTCTTAATTTAACGGCTTATTAATGCTGAGTAATAACCCCCTTTTTTTAACAGTAAAAGAAAATAAAACACTACATGTACTTTTTTATTTAGCAAGCTTTTTGTACATTTGTCTTCTCCAGTTCTCTGCCAGTTCTCTTTTCCAACACACGAATTAAAACCTTTGAAGCATTGTCACCAGGTTATTTCTTAATTGTTCTTGATATTCAAGTACATCGCCATGGTCTGTTAGGTAGCTACAATAACTTATGCTTCAGTTGTTTACCTGCATCAGAGTACCAAGCATGTTTAGAGTGTGGTTCAGATATAGCAATAGCAACTAAACAAGCAAATTAAACTTGAATTCTTTTTAAAGCTAGGTCTGTGAACCACTTTATGGACCTACCTTTAACTCGCTCACATTTAGCAAGCGGAAGATTGTCCACAAGGGGGTGCTTTAAGCACTCAAGTAGCTTTTGGTTCTTCATAAGAGTGGTGCTTTACATCAGTGGCATTGCATGTACTTGTTTTATTCATTCAAGATAAATGAGTTTGCTCTAAGTTTGTAAAGATCGTAATTGTGTCACAGTATGCTGTATGGCTAATGGATCTATCCATGCCCACGAATGTACTTTCATAGATACTGTTCTGAGGTAGAACAAGCTTTAAAGAACACTTGTAAATATCTCTTTGAACCTGACTGTCCAAACTCACAGCAGTAGCTACGAAAGAACACACTTGTGGGTGGAGCCTGGAGAGGATTATTAGAGTAGTTATGTGCCTATAAGCTTTTACTCAGAGGAGGTTTCATAAACACAAGTTGACCATTGCATGGCGGTCTGCAGTCCAGTGCAGTGGTGGCTGTGTTTATTAGACCAGCTCTCGTGTGTGTGTGTGTGTGTGTGTGTGAATGTCAGAGTGGTCCTGTGTGTCAAGAGAGGATGTGAGGAACTCTCAGGAGAGAGATAACTTTCACTCCAGACTGAGAGAGCCAGGCTCAGCTGGGGTAGGTGTAATCTAATCCCCCCAGTGCTGCTCTTTAACGCTGCCGCCCAGCTCACCTGCACCAGCACTCTGACACAGGAAGTGAATGTGACTGCTCATGCATTTCACACATGTTCTTAAAGTGATAGTACAGCTAAGAATCTAACTCCCCGAGTTTTCCTCCCTCTTTACCTCAACATACAGTGGTGCTTGAAAGTTTGTGAACCCTTTAGAATTTTATATATTTCTGCGTAAATTTGACCAACAACTTTATCTACTTTTAGGACTCGTGTGAACCACATTAAACAAATGAGACAAACATATTAGACTTGGTCAATTATTTATTAAGGAAAATTATCCAATATTACATATCTGTGAGTGGCAAAAGTATGTGAACCTTTCAGTATCTGCTGTGACCCCCTTTTGCAGCAATAACTACAACTAAATGTTTCCGGTAACTGTTGATTAGTCCTGCACATTGGCTTGGTGGAATTTTAGCCCATTCCTCCGTACAAAATAGCTTCAACCCTGTTATGTTGGTGAGTTTTCTCCCACTAAGTACTTGCTTCAGGTCTTTCGACAATATTTCTATAGGATTAAGGTCAGGACTTTGAGTTGGCCTTACCAAAACATTATCTTTATTCTTCTTTAACCATTCTTTGGTAGAACGACTTGTGTGCTTAGGGTTGTTGTTTTGCTGCATAACCCACATACTCTTGAGTTTCAGCTCATGGACAGATGTCCTGACATTTTCCTTTAGATTTTGCTAGATTTCATTGTTGCGACAATGATGGCAAGCCATCCTGGCAAAACAGGCCCAAACCATGATACTACCACCACCATGTTTCACAGATGGGCTAAGGTTTTTATGTTAGAATGCAGTGTTTTCCTTTCTCCAAACATAATGCTTCTCATTATACCAAAAAGATCTATTTTGGTCTAATCCGTCCACAAAACATTGCTCTAATAGCCTTCTGGCTTGTCCATGTGATCTTTAGCAAACTGCAGACGGGCAGCAATGTTCTTTTTAGAGAGCAGCGGCTTTCTCCTTGCAACCCTGCTATGCACACGGTTGTTGTTTAGTGTTCTCCTGATGATGGACTCATGAACATTAACATTAGCTACTGTGAGACAGGCCTGTAGTTGCTTAGAAGTTACACTGGGTTCCTTTGTGACCTTGTGGACTATTACACACCTTGATCCTAGTGTGATCTTTGTTGGTCAGCCACTCCTGGGCATGTAACAATGTTCTTGAATTTCGTTCAAACACTTTAGAGATGGTATTGTGACCTTTTCCAGTCTGATGAGCATCAATAATTCTTCTTTTGAGGTCCTCGGAAATCTCCTTTGTTCGTGCCATGATACACTTCCACAAACGTGTTGTGAAGATCAGACTGTGATAGATCCCTGTTCTTTAAATAAAACAGGATGGTCACTCACACATCATTGCCATCCCATTGATTGAAAACATCTCTAATTTCACCTCAAATTATCTGCTAATCCTAAAGGTTCGCATACTTTTTTCACTCATTTAAGATTAACCACTATGAATTGTCCAGTAACCACTATAAATAATTAAATAACTAACTACTATGAATTATTTAGTGTCTACTATTAATTATTCAGTAACCACCATGATTTTTGCAGTGTCTACTACCAGTTATTCAGTATCTACAGAGAATTATCCAGTAACCGCTATGAAATGTTCAGTAACTGTTATGAATTATTCATTATGTACTGTGAATTATCCAGTGGCCACTATGAAATCATCAGTATCTGTTATGCTATTAATGTGTAAGTTTTAGGGGTTAATTTATGATGTTTTAAAGCAGAAATTAAATTGCTAGTAAGCATGCTGGTTGAAATGTTATTTTTCAGTATTTATTTTAAAGATTGCTTCATTTGTATGAAATGCCCCTGAATTTCAGGTAGTGAGGGCAATAATGGCTCTTTTAATAAAGATATTTTCTATCCTGGCGATATGTGTTTTAGGTGCTGAAGGAGAGCGGCCCGCCGCACATGAAGAGCTTCCTGACCCGCGTTACTGTGGGAGAATTCTCGGCCGAGGGTGAGGGCAACAGCAAGAAACTTTCCAAAAAGAGAGCAGCTTTCTCCATCCTGCAGGAGCTAAAGAAACTGCCGATCATTCCAGTGGTGGAAAAACCCAAACTGCATTACAAGAAACGCCCCAAAACCATATTAAAGGTATTAAAAGCAGCTGAATTTAGGCTACAGAAGTGCATGTATTAATGTTAATGCCAATGCTCCTCTATAAGTATTCAGTGTTAGCTCTAAATTCAAGTATTTGCTCAAGGTCTGCAACAATCAGCTGTTTACATCTTACAGGCTTTAATTGTCTATTGTTTGTAGATCTGTTTTATGTACTAGTTAACACACTGTGGGCAAATTAATGTGTAGCACAGTTAGCTTGATGCTAACATAATACAGAAAATTGCATAGAGAAATTAGCATTATTGCATTGGTCTTTGTTGATAGCTTACTCAAAAGGAGCTAAATTTCTTAACAGAAGAATTATTGTGATGATTATGAATAATAAATGTGATTGTTTATTAAACATCTGTGCATTTACTGTTTAAGTAGTTCAGCAAATTATATCTCTGTGCTCAGTGTATTTTTAATAATAATTCTGAATGATTTGTGGTGAAATTTGTTGTGCATGCCTGGGAGTCAGTAATGAGGGTAAATAAAAGCTGTCCGTTTTGTCTGTGGTAGACTGGACCGGAGTACGGCCAGGGCATGAACCCCATCAGCAGACTGGCTCAGATCCAACAGGCCAAGAAGGAGAAGGAACCCTGAATACATGCTGCTGTCTGAGAGAGGGATGCCCCGCCGCAGAGAGTTCATCATGCAGGTACAACCAGAGAGAGAGAGAAGAGAGCAATGGAAGATAAAGGAGAGAGATAGAGAGCAGTCAATGATAAAGGGGAGAGGAGAGAGAGAGCGAGAGAGAGAGAGAGGGAGAACAATGAAAGATAAAGGGAAGAGAGAGGGTAAAGAGAAAGAAAGATCAATGAAAGATAAAAGAGGGAGATTTGAAAGAGCAATGAAAGATAAAGGAAGGTGAGAAAAAGAAAAGAGAGAGCAATAAAAGATAAAGGAAGGTGAGAAAAAGAAAAGAGAGAGCAATAAAAGATAAAGGAATGTGAGAAAAAGAAAAGAAAGAGAGCAGTGGAAGATAAAGGATGGTGAGAAGCAATGAGAGAGAGCAATGAAAGTTTGGAGAGATGGAGAAAACGTTGAGAGAGAAGGGAAGAAAAGAGAAAAATGAACAGAGGAGAGGGGGGAAAGAGGAGGTAGGAGAGCAAGAAAGTGAGATAAGAGAAATGAAAAAGAGAGAGAAAAGACAAAAAGAAAAAAGGAGAGTGTAAGAAAGAAAAGACAGCAAGTGAGAGAAAAAAGAGAGCAGTAAATAAGGGGAAAGGGGAAACAGAAGAGAGAGAGAGAGTGTGTGTGTGTGTTCTGGACAGGCTCTGATAATCTCCCACTGTGTGATCTGTCTTAATCAGTGTGTCTGTCACCTCCACACACTCTGACTCTGATTACTGCTGACCTACACACACACACACACACACACACACAGGGACAACAGCTCATCTCAGTAATGAAATTAGGATGATACATTTTAATCCCTTCATGTGTGGGTTCACACTTCAGTTCCTCTCTCTTATACCTACAGAAGTTATCATTTCATAGTAGTTACTGTATAATTCACCTGACCTATCCAGTCTTTTTTGTTGCTACTGCGCCGAGTTTGACCAAATCCAGTTCAACCTAATGAGAAACTGTAGAACACGACTCAGTTTATATCACAATACTGACATTTAAAGCAAGTTATTAATTTAACCTAATGAGAAACTATAGCAATTTTGGGTGGTTACATAATGTAGATTTTCCAGTTTAAAATGCTGTTCTACCAAGCTGTGGCATTGTAGCTAATCAAAGCTACGCAGGTTGGAAATGAAAAATTTGCTGGACTATTACGTGCTAACTAAAAAACTAGACACAGTCTATCCTAACATTTGTCCAACCTAGCAACAGTTGCTAGAAGAGAACGCATTTGTGAGTGGAGTGTGTATATTAGGGGTGCAACGATTAATCAACTTAGTCGACTAAAATCGACGGCCTAATTAGTTGGCAACTAATTTAATAGTCGATTAGCTGGTGATGTCATCACGCCTGTTTCTCGTGCTGACTAGGAATGTTTTGACATCACCGCTTACTGGAGAGTTAACAAAAGCATGACAGCTGCCTCAAGAACAAAAAATGTGGGAGAATTTCACGCTTAACTCCAAAAAAAAGATTGTCAGATGTGCTATTTGTTAAGCCAACCTTAGATGGCACGGAAGCACATCTTCTATGTTGGAGCATCTGAAGAGGAAACGCGTTGGGTCACTGGATGAAGAAGATTCATCTCGCTGACTTGTTAGCTAATGTTAATGTTAAAAGCCATCCTACTTCATGTTTTAAGCTGTAACATCTATTTCGAAACTTATGTTCTCTTGAATCGTTAATGGAGTTGAAATGGAGAAGCAAGTAACTGTTATTCACAACAACCCTCTTCACTTTCCAAATAACGTTTACAGTTTTAAGCATTGCATCATTGTCTTAATGTCGAGGCCACTGATGTGTTCTGATTGTTTCAGAAGGTAGCTCTCTGTGAACATACAGGGCAGCTGGACGAAGGGTTACCGCTGAAATGGAATATTTACACAAAATTGCTCAAATTTAACTGTTCAGAGAGAACAAGTTTGCTGCAAACGTTAGCCACTGCTCGCCAAATTTGAACGCAACTCACGTTTATAGGTGGAGATGTGTTGCTCATAGATATACATATGTAGATCCACTCTCATGTTTGTGTGTTGTTTATTGTTGTTTGATGTTTGTGTAGATATGGACATGTGGTTGGTGAAGCACAGAGACCCTGTTGGTGTGATTAAGGAAAAACTTTTAGTTTTGTTATATTTCATTGCTGTTACTTTGCACATCCTTTGATTTAAATTTTTGACAGGAAAAAGATGTTGTTTTATTTATCTTTTGTATTAGCAGGAAAGGTAGTTAAAACAGTGAATTTAATAATGAATAAAGTATTCATTATTGTCTTCATTGTTAGCAAATGCATAAAAAATCTCAAGCTAAATTTACCCAAGTGTTATTGGTACTTGATCCAAAAAATCAATTATTCATTTTAGTAATCAACAGATTATTAGACTATCCAAATAGTTTGTTTGTTGCAACCCTAATGGATAGGGTCATTTGTTTTTGGTTTGTTCTAAACCATTAACTTAGTGCTGATGTGTATCTGTTTTTCATATTTAGTGAAATTAATTATTGTAAGTTTCTTTGCCATTAGTGAACTCCTTCACCCCTTTTTGGCCCTGGCTAATGCCCATGCGTTTACTGAGGATCATTAAAGCTGGAATAGCAGCTGCCCAGCGTCTTTTCCACTGATATCACTCTGACTTTACGTCACTCTGCTGGAATGCGTGCTCTAGCAGAGCTGCTCTGGAGGAATGGGAGGGAACTGTACAGCCTTGGCTTTTATACACAAAGATTAGTAAATTTACTGCACTGTTTTCAGAAAGCAGGTTCAGCTGAAGCCTCTAGATGGACTTTTCCTTCTTTGTTAGATTTCACTGTGTTAACTTTATCGCTTAAAACAGGAGCATACATTTATCTTCTGATCTGTTTCTGGTGTTTCTGGCTAATTAGGAGTTACTTCCTTTCCAAGGGTCAGTGACAGTTAGCACAGTGACCCAGAACGTATTACATGGGAAGAGATTTTTTTCTGCATAATGCAGTGGTTGAAATGTAAACGGATTCACTGAGAGTGGTTTAGTGTGGGAAAAAAAACTTACAGCCTCAGATTTCTTTACGATGGTGGTGATAGGAACCAGGCATTGTGATGTCTGCAACACAAATATAGTCATTTTATTTATTGTCCAAAACCATCGGTGAACCTACACTTGCCTTCTGAGTTTCTGTGTAGAATATTGAGGATGGTAAAATAATGGAAAATCTGAAAAAATCTGTTTTCTTTTGCCTTGTACCTCTCTGCCATGAATGTTTTTCGAAAAAGATTTTTTAGGCCAGTACTTTGTGTCAGAACTATTATAAAACGTCTCAGACATCAGGCAGCTTATTCATGACTACATAACTGCATTCATAACTCACGTAATGACTTTCTATGAGGGAGCTTTTAAGAGGTGGACACCTGGTTCTTATCACCACTGTGAACAATTCTGACTCTATAGGTTCCTCTAGAAGCATTTCACATCAAACCACTCTGAAAGACTTTGTTTATATCTTGAGAAAAGGACTCAAAACATTCACATGGTCATTCACTAGCACAGTAGAAGGTGATAATGTCTGAAAATTAAATGTCAGGTACCTTAGGAAGAACATTTGTGAGTGTAATGCTGTCTGATTCCTGCCAGAAAATAAAAGCTTACAAAAAAGGGAGAAGAAGCTGCTGCATCTCTGAGACACCGACACAGTTTTGATCAGATGAATTTTTTTTGTAAATTTTTTTTTGTTGTTTAAACCCAAAACATGCCTTTGGTTAATAATCATCAAATCACATGTATTTAGAATCATTGAGGTATTTTTAATATTTGCAATACACTTGAGAACCCCTTTAAAAGAGCCAAGTATGTTCTGAGACCTCCACACTACTGTACACTGAAAAAGTAAAGCTAAATTCAGTAATAAATATGTTTTCACCCCCAAATTGCCATGCACACAGAAACAACCCAGCCATCAGTCATATTTTAGGAGTCCTGCATGCCCAATCAATGAAATGTGCTGATGCTCCAGAGCATCCTATTATATTGGCCAATGCCTTTTTATGGAGATTGATGCTTTTCAGTCAAAGCTAAGTGAAGAGAGATGCTAACACAGACGTTGCAGGTTTGCTTTGGGGAAGGCGTTACATCGGGATTGGAGGACGACTGCATCCCTGTATGTGTCTGTTAATCCTCTTCATTCAGAGCAGCACTGTGTTCAGCAATACGGCTCTAACGGATTCTCCACGCTTCTGTCAGCGCTGCTTTACGCTGCTCTTCTGTCTGTTTCTTTTGAGTGGTCTGGTTGTGTCTAAAATTTCCACATTGTTTGGTCCCAGGCCAGTGGCATAAATAAGTTTCTGTTTGCAGCTTTCAGCTTTAAAAATAAGAACTGTGATTTTGTGTATGTAAACGAGATTTCATAATTCCTAGTTCAAATGTACACAAAGTCATTGAGAGTGGTTTGGTGTTAAATGCTCTGTTCTAGAGGAGCTTACCGAGTCAGAATTGTTCACAGTGGTGGTGATAGGAACCAGACGTCCACTTCTAAAAGCTCCCTCACAGAAAGTTATTACATGAAATGGTTATTTTCACAAGATGCTGTTTTACAGTATTTTTGAGAAGGCTTTGGCCTAAAACATATTCCTAAAAACCAGAGGTACATTAGGGCATTAAAAGGCAACCACCTGAAAAACTGTAGCAACCACCTAACAACCACCATAGATACCATAGAAACTGCTTAGTAATATCTTAGCAACCACCTAAAATACTGTAGTAACTGCCTCACAACAACCTAGGATACAATAGCAACCATCTGGAACACCCACGTAGCCCCTTAGCAGCCACCTAGCAAGACCCTAGCAGCGACATGGGATGCCACAGTAACACCCTGGTAACCACCTGAAACACTGTAGCACCTACCTAGCAACACTCTAGCAAAAGGAATAGCTTAAGCTGCACAGTCAGTATGTATGTTCTTCAGGAAATGCATTTTTCTAGTTTTTAAATTTTTAAATGTAAGATTTAAATATTGAAGTGTGACAATTAAGAACTGACTGTAATATAATATAAATAAAATATTGCCTGTACTGTCAATTACCTGTTTTAAGTTTAAGTCCCCTAAAATCAATTTTTGTGTAGATACGTACATACATGCATACACACATACGTATATATATATATATACATATATACACATATATATACATATATACACATATATATACATATATATGCATGTGTGTGTATGTGTATGTGTTATATATATATATATATATATATATATATATATATATGTATGTATGTATGTGTGTGTGTGTGTGTGTGTGTGCGTGTTAGAATGGCATCGTGTAGTGTTGCTCTTTTGGTCATATTAAAATAAACTCTCGCTGTATTACAAGCTTTTCGTCCCCCACAGCTGATTTGACCCAAGCCCCTGCTCTTGTGTGTTAACAGGTGAAAGTAGGTGCTGAGGTGACCACAGGAAGTGGACCCAATAAAAAAGTGGCCAAGCGTGCAGCCGCTGAGGCCATGCTGCTGCAACTAGGCTATAAAGCTTCAACCGTGCAGGATTCGCCAGACAAGGTCAGTATTCACCCTGTACAAAACAGTGAATGTATTGAAAATATGTTGCGATCTTCACTGAGTGTGTCAGTTTATCACGTCCACCTATCTACTGTAACTGGCCATTTTGTCAAAAAGACCTACCATATAGGTACATTCAAGTTTACAGTTACAGGCTCTTGTAGGTGTTCATTGATTGGTCAGCAAATGAACACTCGGTTACTTTCACGTATGTCAGTAGTGCCCAAATAGTCTATAAATATATGTATTTAAAGTATAGATATATCGCAGTCACAGTAATCAAAGTAAACTTTAATTAATTCTGTATGATTATGATATTTTGCATCAGTTTGAATCAGATCACTGATGCCTGGCCCAAAATCACAGAACTTTTTTGGAATATATTGACAAGATATAACAATATATTTCGTATTCATGACAGAGCACAGATTTCGAGTTGAATCTAGCCACCTTCGGAGATACCATATAGCAACCACCAGAGATACCGTAGCAACTGCCTAGCAAATGCAAGGGATACCATAGCAACCACTTAGCAACACCCTAGCAGCCATTGAGATACCATAGTAACCACATGAAAACCTATAGCAACCACAGAGTAACACCCTAGCAACCACCTTGGATACCATATAAACTGCTTTGCAATGCCCAGCAACCACCTGTTATACCATAACAACTGCCCAGCAAAACCAAAGCAACCACCTGGAACACATCATAGCAATTGCTTAGCAGCCACCTAGCAACATCCTAATAACCACCTGTAAAACTATGGCTTTTACCTAGTACCAGTCTAGCAATGGAAATTGTGTAAACTGCCCAATCAGACTTGAATTTCTACTCTTCTAGTTTTAATATTGTATGTTTAAATGCAAGATTTAAACATGCTGTGTTGTAATATATCTGTAGATTCTGCTCAGTGCGTCTCGAAGAACACAGAATTTGATTAAACTGATTTAATACGATTCAGAATTCTTTTTAAAAAATACACTGAATACACAAATAAGACTTTAGGAATTGATGGCACAGTAGTGCAATCTAGACAATAAAAACACTATGTAAAACAATATACATCAGTCCATCAAGGATTTTCCTGAGTTTGCTCTGTCTCTTTGAGAGCCCCACCAGGTTTGATTAAATGGAGGTTATGTAACAGCGTCCCCTCTGTGCTGTGTCTAAGGCGTGTTTAAGTTGATTGCTCCAAAGTCCTGTTAGAACTGGATTAGTTTGAACTTTTATTTAGCATAAATCTTCAGTGGGTGAAGTTTTTTAAAGTCTGACTGTGATAATTGTGATTTTAATTCAGTATGAATCTGGAGTGTATATAGTGTTTACAGTCTGACAGTGATAGTTAACCAGCTCCTCTGTCTTAGTTAGCGGCATAGTTTAATATTTAACAGTTGTTAGATAGATGATTCAACATTTATTGAAAGATGGCTTGAAAATTGTGCACTGTGTTTACCTATTGGGTGATCGTATGAGTGCACGAAAGTTTTAGATTATTTTTCAGTTGTGAATTAACAGAGGACAAGATGGCACAAAAGCAAACTAATGCTAGTCACTTACAAGACTTACAACACCCCCCACACCCTGTATTTAATGTAATACCATATGCCGCTATAATATTGGAAGTTTGTGTATTAAAAAAGAGGAAACCTCCCAACCCTGGTCTGACAGTAATAACTGTGGAGTGCCTAATTTCAATTATATACAGCAGCGCTCATTCCACTGCTGCCATCATTTGGCTTTAGTGAGTTCTCCTAATTCTCACCAGATTCAGTCCAAATGATTTGGGGGAAGTGGGGAGGTGTAGGGGTAGTGGTGCTGAATGAGAGAATAGAGTGTGTAAATGGGAGAATGGAGTGTGTGTGTGTGTGTGTATACACTATTATACTGAGCTCTGTAGGACTGAGCTTCCTCTCCTCCTCCCTCTGATTTCCTGCCGTGTTATTGGCCTCTGGGCTGCGATGTCTCAATCTGGTGGCCGTCCTTTATTTCTGGTAGGGTCAGCAAAGAGCAACTTATCTGACATGCATGAAAAGAGACTAACTCTCTCTCTCTCTCTCTCTCTCTCTCTCTCTCTCTCTCTCTCTCTCTTTTCCCCCATCTCCCCCTTTCTCTCTATCTCTTTCTCTACTCTTTTTTCTTTCATTCTCTTTTTTCCCTTCTTTCTCATTCTCTTTTACTGTCTTTCCCTTTTTTGTTTAATTTTCTTTCTTTCTGTTTGATTTTTTTCTTTTTTTACTCTCTCTCTAACTTTCTTTTCTCTCTTTCTCTACATTTTCTCTTTTTCTTCTTCTTTCCCTCTCCCTCTTTCTTTTATTCATTCATTCTTTCAATAATTCTTTCTTTCTTTGTCTTATTTCTCTTTCTTTCTGTTTCTCTGCACTTCCTTTCACTCCCTCTCACTTTCTCTCACTTCCTCTTCTCTCTCTCTCTCTCTCTCTCTCTCTCTCTCTCTCTCTCTCTCTCTCTCTCTCTCCCCTTTAGTCACAGATGGATAATAAAGGTTGGAATGGACAGAGGGCCGGTTTTCCTGAAGCGTCAGCGAACAGTAAGTGTGTGTGTGTTGTTGCGGGTGATGCTGCAGTGTTTAATCTGTCTGACTGACACACACACACACACACACACACACACACACACACACTGCTGTCCTGCAGCTTTCTTCCATTCAAACAGACTGCTCTTTATTTTTCTGTTTACACCTTTTATCTGTCACTCAGGATTACTGACTACACACACACGGACACGTAAGCATGCTCTCACACCCACACACACGTTAGGGCTGTCAGGATGAATTTCACAAAAAATTCTTTAAAAAGTGAAAATTGAAATTTTATTCCAACATCATGGCTCTGACACCTTTTTAAAACATTTACATTCAACACAATGACTGATACTTTTATTTTGTTTTCTTTAAAAAAAAATAAAAAGAATAATATGTGGTCTCAGTTTCCTCTGTGTAATGCCGGTATGAATTTGGGCACGGGTTAGGTCCTCAGTGGCTGGAACGTTGGGACACGGATGATATTTTTTGTTTACATGCTCTGAAACCCAGATAGAGCTTGTGTCAGTCACATTCCATTTGTAACCTTTGTGTGGTTTTTTTGTTCAAAATAGGATGATAGTTAATTTCTAGATGACCATTTTCCAGCCATTTTTTACTCCTTAGAATGAAACAGGCTGTTTTTGTTACTGTGCTGTTAAATTGAAATATAAAAGTGTTATGATTGGCACTCCTTACAACTTCAGCATGAATGGGTGGGACTCAACTACTATAAACACAGAATAGATGGAAATATAAATTTTCTGGTTGTGGCTTGACAAACAATTAGTTCAGAAGTTTTGCAAGTTTTTGCAGCTTAATTTCCATATATGGAGTGAGACTGGGGAATGAGCCATACATTTTTGAAACTTTAACAGTGTTTAGATATTAAACTCCTTTTTTTCCCCAAAATGTTAAGGAAACTGTTTTCCATCACATGGACCCCTAATTTTACACCTTTTAATATTAATAATGAGAATACTTAATAGCTTCCCAAATGTATCTAAAGCTGAATTCCAAAGCACTTTCTCCATAACAACAGAAAACCCCTTGTTTTTTAATATGTAGAGCATGTGGCCTTAGCTATGGAGCTCCCATTGAGCAGTCTGAAGTTTCTCCAACAGGAGACGCTATTAGCACATCTTGCTGGACAATGCTTTAATTTGAGCTCCTCTCAAATTAACAGAAAATGTGTTTTATGATCATAAACATATTGCTATATGCTTACAATTTACTACTGAAAGCCAAAAATCTTAGACACTCTTTGTATTTTTTAATAAAAATAATTTTTACAGAGCAGATCACTGAAGAGACACCATCCGTGATCCAGTTTATAGCTCAGCTTTGTGGAAAAATGGGTCAACTTTCAGTAGAAATAAAAATTGTGAGTTCAGCTTCTTTTATTATAAAGTGTTAAATTTACATTAGCCAACTATTTGACTGGAAAGAAGATAGTTACAGCTCTCATATGACACCTTTTGAATGAAGCTTATGAAATATGGACGTTTTGATGTAAAGAATGTGACAAAGTGCATTTTGGAACCACCGGTTCCACTGAGTTAAATCAGTCAATGTTGAGAAGTATGTGGGTTAAAGAGCATATAGAACACAGCTGCAACAGAGTGTGTATGCGTTTCACTGTTTATCTGATGCTCGAACAAACAGTTTTTTTAATCACTATCATTTTTACTATCGGTCAGATTATTTGTTAAGTTTTAGCTTTTGACACATTGTAGTCTTCCAGTGCACTCTGCAAATATTGGCACCACTGGTCTGTAAAAATCTTTCATTTTTTTAAAAACCTGTGTGCCACTGTTGCTGGTACTTTGTGCAGCCTCCCATCGCAAAGACAACAACTCTGAGTCTTCCCCTATAATGCCCAATGAGACAGGAGAACACATGGCAAATATCTGAGACTATTCATCCATACATAATCTCTCCACATCCTTCAGATTCAGTTTCACGCTTGTGAAACAGGTTTTCTATGGGGTTTAGGTCAGGAGACTGGGGTGGCCATGGCAAAACCTTGTGGTCAGTGAACAATTTTATGTTGATTTTGAGGTGTGCTTTGGATCATTATCCTGCTGGAAGATTCAACCATGGCCTAGGTTACGTGTCCTGGCTGAGGCAGTCAGGTTTTGATATTTGCATCTGCTAGTACTTGATGAAGTCCATGATAGCATGTATCTGAACAAGTTGTTCAGAGCCTTTGGAAGAAAACCAGCCCCCCAACATCACAGATCCACCACCATATTTCACATTGAGGAGGAACTACTTTTCTGCATAGCTTTCTTTGTGTGTACGCCAAACCCACCTTTGGTGTTTGTTGCCAAAAAGCTCTATTTTGATGTTATCTTACCACAGAACACAGTCCCACTGAGAGTTCCAGTGACTGTAGGCGCTTAAGTTTGTTTGACAGTAGAGGCTTTCTTTTGGCAACCCTCCCAAACAACTTGTGGTTATGTAGGTGGCGTCTGATTGTAGCTTGGGAGACATTCTGACCCCAAGATATAACTAATGTTTACAGTTCTTCAGCTGTAATCCTTGGAGATTCTTTGGCATCTCAAACCATCCTCTTCACTGTGAGTGAGGTCAGTATGGACACATGTTCTCTTCCTGGACGATTTTTAACATCTCCAGTTGCTTGAAACCTCTTAATTATTGCCCTGATAGTGGATTTTCAACTGTTTAGCTGTTTTCATGTAGCCATTTCCTGATTTTTGCAGCTTAACAGTCTTTTGTTAACAAGGGAATTTGCCCTGGGTGTCACCTCATATTTATACCCCAGTGAAAGAGAAAGTCATGGCTGACCATTTAACAGTTCCAGATCGCTGAGGAGAACTCAGCAGTAAGATTTCACTCATAAGAATTTCTAGGGGTGCCAGCAGTTGTAGCACACACAGGTTTTAGAAAAATATTTATTTAATGATTTTTTTTTTCTTTCAATCATTACACTTCGAATAAAGGTTAGATTTTTCTTAATATTTTGAACAAAAGATCAAAAGGATAAGCAGTTCATGTTCACCAGGGGTGCCAAGATTTAAGGAGGGCACTGTATTTAATTTTTTTGGCCAAAATATTCAGCTCTCTTTCCTCTTTCAGCCATTTTCAGCTGAAAATTTTCTGTGGCTGAAGTGTTTATATCTCTAGTTTTATCAAGAGAGCCTTCAGTGGAACTTGTTTACAAGCTATTTTTGAATGAGTGGGCTGCAGTCGCAGAGTCATAGCGGTGCACTTGCAACTGGGCTTCAGCCTAACTCAGCGGATGGTTAAATTGGTCAAACTAAAGTGTTAACAGTATTAAAAGCAATAGTGACATAAAAAAAATTATTAACATATTAACTTTGACGCCACAAAAATACACACATACAAATGAAAAGCACACAGGCAGAAAAACACACCTGTAAACACATAAACAGATAATCAGTGGAAGAACAGAGAGAAAGTGAAGTGATGGTGTGAATTCCTCACTTTATGAAGCAGCGTTGGCTGTGTTTAGCTGGAACAGAGCCATTTTCCAGTGTTATCTACGCGCTGTTCGTCTCTATCTGCTCCTCTCTCTCTCTGTAAACTTTCCCAACCGCACAGCTTTTACTGTCAGAAAAGCACCACTAATTTACAGTTCCACAGCTCTGCCAGCAGAACCAGCAGCATCTCCACAGAGTGCTGATATGATCCAGAGCTCATCGCAGTCAAAACTGCTCCGCCTTACTTTCCCACTCATTAAAGTGATAGATCCTTTCCCAATGCTTTAGCTTTCAAAGCTTTTCCTTAAGTTTAAAGAGGAATTCCACAGAGTTTTCAAAATTCCTGAGCAGTTAGATGGTTAAGATGTAAACAGAGTCATTCAGAGTGGTTTGAAGTGAAATTCTCCATTCTAGAGAAACTTACCGAGTCAGTAATGTTCACAGTGGTGGTGATAGGAAGCTCCCGCGATGAAAGATGTTTGATGAAATGGTTATGAATACGCTGCCTGCTGGTTTTGAATAGTAGTTTTTAATCGTTCGCTGTTCTGATTGGTCTGATTGTGCCTCATTCAAAGCAGTCCAGGCTGAAATGTGGAATAACCTATGAGGTTGAGACTGAAATCCTAAGGCCTGTGGGGGGGGGATAAACTTCAGCTGCTCCTTTTGGGTGTGTGGATTCTTTAAAAGCTGGAATAATCCATTTGCTGCCACAAACAACACGACATTTTATCGTTTTCCAACATCTGCTGCTGCTGTAGCCTGAATGGGCGTGGATAAACGGCTGTAGCCTGAATAGGTGTGGCTGAACGCTGTAGCCTGAATGGGCGTGGCTAAACGGCTGTAGCCTGAATGGATGGGGAAAAACTACTGTAGGCTGAATAGGCGAGGGTAAACAACTGCTAGCTGAATGAGCAGGGCTAAAGTGCTAGAGGCTGAATGGGCTGGACTTATGTCCTGTAGCCTAAATGAGCAGAGCTAAACTGCTGTAGGTGGAAATGTATAAATAAATAAATATAGGCTGAATGGGTGGGGCGAAACTACCGCAGCTTAAATAGGTGGTGCTAAATTGCTGGAGGAGTGGTTATATATAAATGTCCTCATGTTTGTGACCACCACCATTTCACGTATGAACTGTACGGGGAATAATTGTTAAAGTTTTTGTGAGTGGCATCAGATGTGCGTTTAGATTTGACCAATTTCAAACTAATATTTGATGATCTATTTAATGAAGAGAGAAGAGCAGAATGATTAGGTCACACTGGGTTATTGCACTTATCTGCTTTTTAATCATTTTACCATATTTGTAACACAACAGAGTGTTATGTTTCACTATAATGCACTATATTATATTCACTATATTTTGATGTGGGCCCTTCAATGCTGTGAGGTTTTGTCTGTAAGATGTCTCTGTATGTGTCTGTGTACTTCGGTGCTGAAGGTATTGAAAAGAAAATAGCTGGAGTGGGTGTTGTTCGTTTACAGTACAGTGTGTTGATGTTTAGGTTCTGTGTGCGTTGCTTCGTGATGTTGATTTACAGAATCGGAGCCGTGTTTTTATCTGTTTTAAATCAGAGTATTTTGGCTGTTCTCTGGATGCTCTCCAGTTCACAGCGAGAGGGTGAAGGGGGAATAATTTTATTGAACATTTATTGCTTTTTGTTGTATTTCTCTGCTGATGTAATCTTGGCTAACACCTCTCTTCTGTTCTGTTTCTTGTGCAGGATCTGCTAGACTGGTTTATGTTTGTGCTTTTAGTTGTACTTCATTAAGGAGGCTAAACTCCAGGCCTATTATAGTTTTGAATGGAATATTTTTCGGTTTTTACTGTTATTTAGTTTTTGTTATTTTTATGTAGTTGTTTTCTTTAAAGTTTATTTTTTAGTTGTAGTTTGTTATTTTAAGATAAAAGCTGTGTTTTTGAGAGGAGTCAGATAAACAGTTAAAATGCATAATGAAAACACCCTAAAACACAGTTCTTATGCATGGTATATACTGATGATGATGATGATAATAATAATATAGTAATGTATTAATAATAAAATAATTCTACTACTACTACTACTACTAATAATAATAATAACAATAATAATAATAATAAAATAATTAAAATGTTTGATTTTCTTTTATGATCAATACTGTTTGGGAACAGCAATATAAAAGGGGATAATTAGATAATACAAACATTTTTGTTTCATATTGTTTTTCTTAATGATAAATACTAGGAATGCACAGTGATGTTTATATTTGCATGGTATTGGTTTCGGTATTGGCATAATCATTGCTTTTAACTAATAAAGCAATGACTAAGACTAAAATGAATGATGAAGTATTTATTGAATTCCAAAAAGTTCATTCTGGAATTGATGCCTGCAACATATTCCAAAAAGTTGGGCCAGAGACAGTTAAAGACTAGGAACATTGTGAAATGTTCAAAGAACATCTTAAACAGGTGATGAAGTCATGCTTGGATGTTAAAGGAGCATCCAGCAAAGATCTAGTTCTTTATGAGCAAGGATGGGTTGAGGCTCAACACTTTGCCAAAAATGCATTAGCAAAAAATCCAACATTGAAAATAGTGTTCCGTTGTTGGTATTTCACCCTCTATAGTGCATATCATCATCAAAAGATTCAGGAAATCCAGATAAATCTGTGTGTAAAAGACAAGGCTGAAAACCATAACTGAATGCCTGTGATCTTCAATCCTTCAGACAGCACTGCATTAAGAATCAGCATGTTTCTGTGATGGATATCACCACATGGCCTCAGGAATTCTTTGAAAAATCGTTGTTAATTAACACTCTGTTGCTGCATCCACAAATGCAAGTTAAGACTGTACCATGCACAGCAGACGTTATATATCAACAGTGTCCCGAAACGCTGCTGACTTCTCTGGGCTAAAGTTCATCTGAAGTGGACTGATGCTCAGAGGAAACATGTAATGTGGTCTGAGTCAATCTTTTATATGTAAATAATGGATGTTGTGTTCTCCAGCCCAAAGAATAAAAGGACCATCCAGAATGTTACCAGCGTGAAGTTCAAAAGCCTGCATCTGTCATGGTGTTAGGAGTGTATTAGTGGGTATTATGCACAGTCCTATTCTGGAAAGTACCATTAATGTTGAACACGTTTTGGAACTACATACGCTGCCCTCTAGATGCCGTCTTTTTCAGAGACATTTATGATTATTTGAGCTTGACAGCACCAAGCCACATTCTGCACAGGTTACAACAGCATGACTGCGTTATAAGAGAGTGTGAGTGCTAGACTGGCTTGTCTGCAGTCCAGAACTGTCTCCTCATAAAAATGTTTGTCTTATTAAGCTCAAAATATTACAACAACGGCCATGTACCGTTGTGCAGCTGAAGACTTGTGTAACTGAAGAGTGGCAAAAATTTACCCTTTCTAAACAGGATTAGTTTGTATTTGCAGTCTCCAGTCATTTTAAGTACTGTTAAAAGGAAAAGAGATGTAACAAAGTGGTAAACATGTACCCATCCCAACCTTTTTGGACTGTTGCAAACATCATATTTGGCACGAGTGTATATTTACAAAAAGTAGTAAAGTTCATTCAGTCCAAACAGATTTTAATAATCATTGCTTTTTGTTTTTATTAGCATTTACATACTTTGCCAGCGTTTTTGTAATTTGGGTTGTACATTGTATAAATGTATACATAAAATATCGGATATGGGCATCGGCCCACAAATCCCATATCGATGCATTCCTAATAACCCTGCTAAACTCACTGATTGTTTTTAGTGGAAACAAGCCTCTTCTGTGATTTTCTTGCAGTTGGTCTGATTGAAAAGAGCTCTGGGAAATCCACACAGTTTTTATTTGATGACTCCATTCAATAAATTACAGGCTGTGTCAACAGCGAGCTTAAGCGTTCAGCAGACACCTTGTTTATTCTTCTTACTAATTTCTAGAGTAATGTTTACAGGCTTTATGGAGTGAACACTGTGTTAAATCAGTCTTAACTCTTTTTGCTTATGTAGTGCTGTTTTTAAAGTCCTGCTGCTTTCCAGCATTTGTTTTCCCTACAGCAAACACTAACAGGAAGTAGCCCTGAAGCACAGCTGCACACATCAGCACAGCTGGATTCTTGTCCGAGCCTGAATGTTGCCTATTTTTACAGGCAGACAGGCCTAGAACCAACATGCTCCACAGATTTTAAGGGGGCATAACATTGAAAACTGAATTTTCCCTGCTTTTTGAAATAACACTTTGATGTAGTATGTGAATGTCACCGTGATGTCACAAAAACCAACACGTTTATATCCACCTGTTCAGCCTTCAACAGTTTATCCCTACCCATTCACACTGAAGTATTAAGGGGAAAAGGGAAAAAAATAACATAGAAGAAAAATGTAGGCTATGAGTCCTTTAATGACATAAACCACTGGATTCTTAACAGTGTTGTACTGGCTGGATGAAAATTTCAGTGTAAAATGAGCTGCCCAAAAGGTCATGAAAATCAGAACACATATGATTTCACATCTTGTTCACATCTCGTTCCTTTCGTTAGGCTGTAATATTGGAGAAGTAGATGTTCAGATTTTAGTGCAGTGACCTTATCGTTGGCTCTGTGGACATTTTCTCAACATAGTTTGTGTTTAAACATCATGCTGGTTTTCAGCAAAGGTTAGTTTTTATCCATCTGCTGGATCATTTTAGTCTTTCTTGTCCAAACAACCCTGTTTTAACAAGTAATGAAGTACATCTGTAAAACCATAGTTTTAAGTTTAGCCATGCCCATCCTGGCTACCTCAGAATCTTGTTAATTTTGTCTTCATATCTATCTGTTTGAGTCTAATATATCGCTGCTGTCGGAACAAAGCCTTGTATCTCGATTTTCTGTCATTTTTCAGTTTTTAAAAGTTTAAAAATGCCTGTTGTCCTTTACATTGTGTGTAAATTTCATGGTGAATGGACCAGAAGAAACAGCCCAAAATGACTTGGGGAAAACGTCTGGTTCCATTGACTTCCATTAAGAGTAAGGTGTGTTTTTTCCTTCTCCTGTAAAGTTAACATTTTGGAGATACAAGGCTTTGTTCTGACCACAGCAATATACATCTGTCTGTCTTTGCTGCTGTCTGTCTATTCATCCACTATGCACATATCTATCTATCTATCTATCTATCTGTCTATCTATCTATTTATCTATTTATTGATCTATCAATCTATCGATCTCTCGTTCTATCTATTTAATGGTCTACCTTTTTATGAGAGATTTGCAGTGCATCCATGTAAAAAAAAAAATCATTTTAGTTTCTTTTTTTTTCTCTTTTTTTTTCCTCCAAAAGTCTAAAAATGTCAGGTGGTGCAACCATCCAACCATATATGTTGATTAAGTAAACTATCAAAAAGTTATATAACATTCTAGATAAGTTAGTTTGGCATGATTTTATATTTAAAAACTTTCTTAAAGTTTTGAAAAACTTTAAAATTACATCCATGTTGCCACATAAATTAATAATAACTTTAAAAGTGTTCAACTCACTGAAACACTTTTGAATGCAAGTTCTTATTTCCTCAAATGTCATGCGGCACAACCAGAAACAAAGGACTTTTGACATGCATTTGCGAAAGAGGGGTCAGGGTGATCAGGGTGATCAAGTGATCTTCATGGTGCAATGCCAAGGTCGGTAGCCCAATGTCATTTTTGAGTCGTGGTTAAGGATGGTTCAATTTACCTGTCCAGTGATATGACCTCAGGAAAACAATGAAAATGTGTAATTTTTATAGTAATATTTATTTAAATTAAAAAATGTAAGTGTAAGCTCAAGTTTAAGGACAAAGCTTTCTACAAGTATCTAAGTAGATGCCCAGTTTAATTAGAATTTAGTCTGAAAAGTCAGGTGGCACAACCAGTAAGACAAATGGTGCAACCAGAACAGTGGAGTTAATAAATTAATAACTGAAATAGGCAATTAAAAGCTTTGATAACGCTAACTTCATGTAAGACATAAAATGCACATAAATGATAAAGATATTGAAAAGATTTATTTAAGATTTTTTTCAAAATGACAATTTATAAAAAACGTATTTGTCGCTGACCCATATACATGTGTGTATGTATCAGATGTAAGCAGCATTTATTTGTGTCTTTCTCCTGCAGCACAGAAAGGAATTCTGCACCTCTCCCCGGATGTGTATCAGGAGATGGAAGCCAGTCGGAATAAAGGTGGCTCTGGAGCATCCGTCAGCTTCATGAGCACTAAAGAACTGGGCCAGGGGTCTGCTGGACCTTTCTACAGCTCCCCTGGTAGCAGCAGCACCGCCTCCATGGCCAGGGAGCTGCTGAGTGGGACCCCCACAGGGGAAGGACTGAAGGGTAAACCCACCACGCTGACCTGCAGCTCCGTCCAGCCATCACAGCAGCTCGAGTACCTAGCTCACATCCAGGGCTTTCAGGTACGCCAGAATAATGGCCATTCATACACCTATCTACTCAGGATAACTCACTTGCTGATCAGTTTCGCCAGGATCATTTAGGTAGAATTTAACATATTGTGGAAAAAAAGAGAGAGAAAATGTAGCCTGTGCAAAAGTTATATACATTAATTATATATATATATATATATATATATGTGTGTGTGTGTGTGTGTGTGTGTGTGTGTGTGTGTGTGTATATATGTATATATATATATATATATATATATATATATATATATATACACACATATTTGCAGTATGTTAAATTTGGCAAATAAAAATAGAAATTGTGCAGTAAAATTTGCAGAAAAGATGCCATATTTGAGTGTTCTCTGTAGAGGATGTGAACTTATTTTACATAGAAAATCAACAAAACATGAAATTTGACCAGAGGTGTTCAAACTTTTGCATGCAATTGTACTTATATGGGGCATATTATTATTATCATTATATATGGATATTTACATATTTGGGCCATATACATGACCCCGGCCTGTATTGGATAAAAAGTCTCCTGTGTGTCGTATCCCTCCAGCTTTTTAGTTTTAAAGGAAACTGTATTGAGTGGAGTCAGTCTGTGTGCCTCACCCTGAGTGAGGCCTATTCATTTAATTCCAGGTGCTTTTTATAATGGACAGTAAAAACATTTTGTCTTAACCTGCTGAGGTTGCCTTTGAAAAAGCGTTTTGTTTTTGCTCTGAGGCTTCCTGCTGCCCAAAACTCGATGAAGAGCAGAGAGGCAGCCTAACGTAAACAGCGGCAGGGCCAGCAGGTTCCAGTTAAAGGGGCAGCTGCGAAGGATGAGCCGAGTCTGCCTGTGGATCAGAGTTTAAACCCCACGGGATCAGTACAGGCTGGGATATCTTCCCATCTCTCCTACCAGCAGGGATTTGACTGTGTGCTGTAAAATAGCAGGAAATGTGAGGCAGTGATGTAAATGATGGAGATCAGTAATGAAAACCTGAATGCTCAGAAAGCCCCCTTCAGCTTTTCGTTTTTCTGCCTCGTTCAACTTTTACTGGAGAGTTTTGTGAAAGGAACTTACTAGGGCTGTCATGATTAGTTATGTGAGCTTGAATATTTAATTTACAAAAAATATTCAGTTTAATTATCAAATTTGATTAAAATATTTAAAAACAGCAATGCAGTTTGAATAACTGGTTCTTTTACTTGTTTACACGCCTCTGTGCTTCTGTGTTTTTATCAATGTGACAAGAATATTTTCTTGTTTATGAAATCATCAAAATATTGATTATGAAATGATAATGTTTCTTCTGTTCTGAAATAGTTTCATCAATCTGGTCAGGTTTGCCAGATTGGGTAGAAATCTCTCGGAACAAGATTTTATGGTACTTGCTACGACGATAGTTGTTTACCAGTGATGTTTTTTCTTTACTTTGTAGTATTTCCAGTTCTCTAATAAATACTAATAATATTAATAAAATAATAATAAAAACTGTAAAAATGACTGTAAAAAAAATGTAAAAAGTAAATAGCAATTTTTTTTTTCAGTTAATCATTAGGTGAAACACATTTTGATTTTTCCTTGTTCTGGTAGGATATTCAAATATTCAAGACAACATTTGATAGAATATTTGAAAATGAAAAATATTCAATCGTTGCACCCCTGCTTAATATTTATGTTCTCTATGAATCAACAATGATTTGTTTAATATCTTTGTATTTTTTAATTGTATCATTTCAGTAATACCTTCTTCCACAGGGGGGAGCCATAAGCTCTCTAGTAGCTTTTGAAAAATATGCATGAGCCCACACCAGCAGGAGCTCACGAGTGCATGTTTATGAACTGAAAGGCCTGACACTACACTAAAGCAGAAAGCATGCTCATTTGGGGCTTACTATTGTTCTTCTTCTTCTTCTCCTTCTTCTTCTTTTTCTTCTTATTATTATTATTATTATTGTTATTACAAATAGGTACTCATTAACTAGGTACAATTACATAGGTACTTATTACTCATTTTTGCATGTAAGCAGCAGTGGTCAGGCTGCGCTTTGCTGGCTCAGATGCAGGCTGTTGGACAGCTCTGTATGTTTGCTCTTATTTTCAGAGTTCGCGCTGTTGGCTCAGACCAAATCTGATGGAAGTAGGGCAGAAATAATGGAGCGAGTGTAATTCCCAACACACTCATTCTCTCTCTTCCTCTCTCTCTCTCTTTCTCTCCAGCTTTTCAGTCTACCAATTCTTCTAGGAATCCTCTTTCATGAACCAAATCACATGATTATTTGGTCTGCATTATCCTTAACCTCTTAATGTCTGTCTTATAAGCATATTTTGAACAAATTCACCAAGTTTTTAATTACTACTTTTCATTAAATTCAGTCTTTGCATGAAGTTTGAAAAAAATCAAATTTGATTATGAATAAAAGTATAAAAATTACATGTAATCAAAGCAATTCAAACGAGCACTGTTAAGTGTTTGTCCAAGGTATGAAAACAGAAAATTTCGACACCATTCAGGGCAAGTTCTGTGGCATTTTTCCTCATCATACTGCATTTAGTTATTAAACACGAATGAGTTAATGTTCTGTTTCTGGTTATTTTGTGTAATATTTTTAGTAAAACCATTTCTTAAATCACACTTAACAATTCAGTAACCTTTTATTGTTCATCTGATGAAACAGATCAATAATAAGCGTTTCAATAGCAGTCTGAGTTGTTCTAAACATGTGCATCCAACAACAAAGGCAGCATGGAGCTTCTTTTATACAGTGATAGGAAACACTGTAGAGTTACTTCTGGGCCTTGAATCCAGTTTCCTGTCCTTTCCTGATTTTGTATTCACCAGACTGTATAACCTGAATTGTTGATGTAACTGGTTGGTCACCTACCAGCAATTACAAAATCCAGGACCAGAAACTGGATTCAAGGTCTGGATTTGAAGTCCTTTTCAGCTAGATCTGACACCAAAGCCACCAAGTATGGACGTTTGAATCCCTGTTCAAGTGGGACCATTACGCTATACTTACAGTCTAATGCAAAAGTTTGGGCGCCACAGTCAAATTCCTGTTTTGTTGAAGTGAAAGTTAACACATCCTCTACAGAAAAAAATAAGTATAACACATGGCACATTTTATGTTTTATGTTGTTTGTTGTCATTTCACACTTTTGTTTATAAAAACTTAGCAAATAAATAGAAATTGTGCACTAATATTTGCACAAAAAGTTCTCTATAGAGGTGAGGTTACTTTGACTTAGAACATCAACAAAACATGTCATTTGACTGGTGGTGTTCAAACTTTTACATACAACTGTATAAGAGTCCTGTATAATTGCACTGTTTAAATATGAATCTTGTTTTGAAGATTTGGGAAATGTTTCATTAGCATTCTGGCTGTTTATTGTTATTATTTTGGTACACAAATTAAAAAAAACATTTAAAAACATCTTTTTAATTATTTTTTAATTTGATATTACAATATACACCAATCTCCCATGTTATTTTACTTACTTTTATTTCATTACTGTTCTTATCTTGTGTAGTTTTTTAAACTTACTTGTTCATTGTACAGCCTTTTGATCTGAATTTATTTTTATTATTATTATTATTATTATTATCATTATTATTAGTTGTATCAGTAGCAGCTTTTCTACACTTTAGCTCATACTATGACAGCATCACTCCAAAATGCACCCAAAAAGATCAGGCAACAGGAGCTATGGACCCATGGGAGGGTGAGGAGGTGGGGTTGGGGAGCTTTGCTGGGGGGGTTGAATAGTGAAGTCAATCTCTGTGGGAACCGTCGTGGTGCAGCACGTCAGGTGCACATCATAAAGAGCCTTTTGTAGAGAGTCTGTGTGCTGTAGAACAGGTAGAGCTGATATGAGGGACAGTCCTGCTCTCAGTCCCACCACCATTCAGCCCAGCCTTCACCACATCGCGACACTGAAGTACTGTTACATCATTTAAAGCAATAGTTCAGCAAAAAATAACCTTGTTTATATTGAGTTTATGCGGTACTGGTTGTTTAAAGGTAGTGGTTTGCTTAAGCTGCCAGAAGATTGTTTTTCATAAACAAATGGGTTATTTAAAGTTACTTCCTTTTTTATTTAAACATGGAGCACTTTGAGCTTATTGAATGCTATGGTGTCTCAGGGGTTGCGAGGTGGTTAATATAGTGTTCCACGTACTTGTTAGTGTGTTGCTAGGTAGTGGCTGTGGTATCTTAGGTGGTTCCTAGGTTGTTGCCAAGCAGGTTCTAAGGTATCTTAGGTGGTTGTTAGTGTTGCCATGTGGTCGCTGTGGTATTGAAGCTCGTCACTAGGATGTTGATCAAAGGTTCATTTGGTAGCCCAGGCAGTTGCTAGGTGGTAGCTAGGGTGTCACTAAGATGTTGCTATGATATCCCAGGTGATTGCTAGAATGTTGTCAAGCTCTTGTTTATGGTGTTTCAGGTTGTTGCAAGGATGTTGCTCAGTGGTTGCTAGGATGTTTCTAAGCAGTTACTATGATGTTTCATTAATTGAGATTAGGTGATTATGTAATAATTCTGCCAGGGTTTGTGGCTATGGTGGTCCAGGCTTGTGGCTAGGGTGTTCCAGGTGCTTGCTATGGAATCCCGGGTGGTTGCTAGTGTACTTGATTCATGCTGGCCAAACTTTTGGCCAAATAGCGTACTATGACTGGAAGGTTTCTATAAGAAGAATGTTCAACGTACCTTCATTCATGGGGGCAGGGGGGAGTCGTGTTTAAGTGAATGCAGTATGAAAACTCTGGTCAGTTCAGAAAAAGCAGAAGTAGCCTATTCAGGTATAGGCTCTCAACGGTGCAAAGTTTGGTGGTTCTAGCTTGAAAACTGTGGTTGGAGAAATGTTACAATGTTTTGACCATGGATTAATAGCAAAAAGAAACACAAAGAAAATGAGGAAAAATAAGTTGTAATTGGTTGTATTCAAGCTTTTTAGGTTTTAGATAAATGTTTCATACAGTGCCAGAAGCCATGTAATCAAGTCTTTTAAA